AAAGCTGCCCGGGATCAGACAGGCTGTCGCCAGCGCTGTGCGCATGCGCGGGTGCTGGCGCGGGAAAAGTATCGCATTTACCTGGGAAATGTCTATATAAGAAGTTGGGAGGTTTTGGGAGCTGCTGAAGCCATCTACTTGTAAGCTGAACGCAGAATAAAGAAAACTGAGAACTTCAACTGCTTCTCGTGTCTGCTTCCCGCCACGGACTCAACACTGGCGACGAGGATGGGATTGCCTTACACCGCCTGGAAAGGAAGAAGTGTAAGCTTACCCAAGTGAGTCCTGAGCGGCGGAACGGCGTCGACTCGGCAGCTACTCGCCAATCCAGTGCGCATTCGGGGGTAGGCTGGCTGATAGACCCGTCTCCTGAAGATGGCAAAAATCGGAAGGCTTTCGGAATTCGACGTCTCACATCCAGAGCGGTGGGAGTCATACGTAGCCAGGGTGGAGAACTACTTCAAGGCAAACCAAGTGAAGGAAGAGAGCTTGAAGGCTGCCACCCTGCTTTGTGTTTGCGGCCAAGACGCCTTCGACATCGCAGAAAACCTTGCAGCACCTGTGCCAGTAGAGTCTGTAAGCTACGCAGATCTGAAGAAGCTACTGAAGGAGCACTTCCACCCCAAGATGTCCGTCATCGCATGGCGCCACACCTTCGAGCAGAGGGATCAACGGCCCGGTGAGTCGGCCAAAGAATTCATCGCCGCATTACGGAAGGCCGCCAAGCACTGCGAGTTCAAAGACCTCGAAGAACGACTGAGGGGGATTTTTGCTGCACACGGGCTGCCAGATGTCATTGTGTCCGACAACGGCCCTCAATTCACTTCCTCCGAATTCCAAGCTTTCTTACAGGCAAACATGATTCGTCATGCCACGTCTGCACCCTTCCACCCATCCACCAACGGTATGGCTGAACGTATGGTGCGCATCACACAGGACGCATTGAAAAGACTCACCTACGGGGACTGGCATCACAGGTTGGCTGACTTTCTCCTTTCTTATCGCACCACACCGTCCACTTCTACAGGGAGAAGCCCAGCTGAACTTCGTTGGGGCGTCAACTTACTACTAAACTTGACCGGTTGCATCCGGACAGACTGCCTTCATCTACCTCACATCCTAGGGCACCTAGACAACTACTTGTGGGTGCCCCGGTTTGGGCTCGCAATTACAGGCCTGGTCATACATGGGTCCCCGCTTCTATTTCCAGGGTCACAGGTCCTCTCTCCTACGAGGTAGCCCTGGCCAACGGTCGTGTCCTGCGTCGGCACATCGACCAACTCCGCCCTCGGCGGGACTTTTCAGATGAGACTCCTGGGTCTTTTCCAGGGGGGGAGGGACCCTTTGGAGCAAAGGGAAGGGCACGAGCTGCTGCCCATCTCCACTGATGGAGCTACAAACGGCCCATCCCAGGGTTCCGCGAGAGCTCCGAACAAGAAATCTATGAGCCTACCTAATTACCAGGCATCCACGCCTACTCCAGCCAGGGAGTCACCCCGGGGGCATACTCACTTTCCACACACATCACACAGCACTCCAGTCACGGAGGATACCCGGGGGCATCCCAACAAATCATTTCCCGCAAGAGAGCTGGCACACAATCCCCAAGTTGGCCTGACCTTACCCCAAATCCTACAGGGGGTCAAACATACAGGGAGGTGGTCGAGGAACCAAGTGCCGACTACAACACCTCTAGCCCAAATCAGGGAGTAACTGAGTTTTGGGAAAGTACAGAAACCCACACAAGCCCGGACACAGAACGGGGTTCAGGGAATGGACAGCCTCCTGACAGGTCTTGGATGGACCTAGGAGGTTCAACAGAGACGCCCAACAGTGGCTATCACTTCAAGGGGCCCGAGGGTCTACAGCTAGGCAGGTCAACCAGGTCACAAAGTGACAGAAGCCCTGGCCTGACGAGCCCGGTGGGCAAGCAAGCAGGCCAGGCATCGGGGCACAGTCCTTGGAAGGCACCAAGGCACAATAAGGAGAAAAGGCTCACATCTCCCTCCAGTCAGGGAACTCATGCTAGTAACCCAGAGCTGAGAAGGTCACAGAGAGCAAAGAAGTCTCCTAAATACTTAGAGGATTACATAACATTGATGGCTAAACAAAAGCCAGGTAACGATAGTAGCACTGAGAAGCAGAACACTGCATAAAATAAATGATTATATGTTGGTAGTAGTTTTAGCCCGGGGGAAAGGGGTGTTATGTCCCGAGCCTTGCAAACAGCTCGGGCGTTTGCAGGCAGTCCCGGGCAGGTGCACAGCTGCCCGGGACCAGACAGGCTGTCGCCAGCGCCGTGCGCATGCGCGGGTGCTGGCGCGGGAACAGTATCGCATTTACCCGGGAAATGTCTATATAAGAAGTTGGGAGGTTTTGGGAGCTGCTGAAGCCATCTACTTGTAAGCTGAACGCAGAATAAAGAAAACTGAGAACTTCAACTGCTTCTCGTGTCTGCTTCCCGCCACGGACTCAACAGTTTAACTTCTTTATCATAATAGCTTGCATTTGTAAATGTGCCCACCATGATAAATTGATACCCTGATTTTCCATTTCTTGTTTAGATTTTAAATTCCCTTCAGAGTTTAGAATATCTCTATATGTTCAGATTTTTTCAAAGTTCAGTAAATTTGGGTGTACAAATGCTTCTATTGTTGACAACCACACTGGAATTTTCAAATATATTTTACATTTTATTTTTTCCCATGTGGTTAATAATGCATTTTTATATAATGATTTTGGAAATATTTATGCACTTTATTTTTCCCGTACCATAAAACAGCATGCCACCCCAATTGTAAATCATGCTCCTCCAAATATAACAGCTTTTTATTTCTAAGAGTTATCCTTTCTTTTACCCATGTTAATACAGATGCTTGGTAATATAAAACCCACTCCGGTAGACCAAGTCCTTCATTTTCCTTGGCATCTTGTAACATTTTCACCTTAATTCTAGCTTTCTTTCCTTGCCAAATAAATTTTAAAATTAGTGAATTTAAGTTTCAAGTTTTATAGATATTGTTTGAAATAAGAATAAGATTTTTGGTAGTATGTTCATTTTCACTGTAGCAATTCTTACTAGTATTGACAATTGCAAGTTTTTTCCATTTTTCCAAATCCAGTCTTATTTGATTCAATAGTTTCATAAAATTAACTTCTTTTATCATTGAACATCTTGCTGTTAAATATATTCCCAGATATTTGACCTTTTTAACTATTTTCAATTCTGTTTTTTCTGACATTTGGGGCTTTTTTTTGCTTATCTATAAAGTTTTTAACTATTATTTTGGTTTGTTTTCTCTATTTATTTTCAGTCCTGCCATTTCTCTGTATTGTTCTATCTTTCCCAATAGTTTAGGAATCATCTCCAAAGGTTCTTCTAAAATAAATACCAAATCATCAGCAAATCCTTATAATTTATATGTTTTACCTTTTATTTCTAGTCCTTTAATTTCTATATCTTGTCTAATATTTCTATTTAGAACTTCCAAAGTGAAAATAAATAACAATGGAGATAATGGACATCCTTGCCTTGTGCCTTTTCTTATCTCAAAGTTTTCAGTATAGTCTCCATTCACAATCACTTTAGCTGTTTCTTTATTATATATTGTTTTTATCATGTTTATAAAGTTTTGTGTAATTATCTTCTTTTATCGTTGAACATCTTGCTGTTAAATGTATTCCCAGATATTTGACCTTTTTAACTATTTGCAATTCTGTTTTTTCCGACATCACTAACATTTGATGGCTACACATACATCATGGGGAAGGATTCATTTCCTTGGCAGAACAGCACAAATGCCTTTCTCAGTTGCAGCCATCCTCCATGTTTTATACCAGTGTTGCCTTTAAAACTGACGCACCATAGTTTGGCATGGAGCTGAAAGAACTGTTCCAGAATTTGGGAGAGAAAACATTATGCCTTTGCAAAATGGTTTTTTCATCCATCTTGACAGGGCAAATCATGATTATGTCAGGCAAAGCAAAAAGCATTTACTAAAAAGGATAAAGTCCTTATATTAAGTAACAAATGACACCTACATTTGCTATATGTGATGCATCAAAAAGCAACAAATAAAACTATAGGATACATTAATTAGATATCAGAATTAAACAAAAGATAACATTGATCCTCAATAAAATTCCATAATTGGGAAATTATGGGTTATGTCAACCTCTTTCCAGGTCAAATGTGTATCTTCCTTAATACTTGTAACTGTATTCAAGGATTTCCAGAATACAATCCCTATTGTTCAGTTTCTGAAGAGGCTAGTATTGGCTAGCAACAAAATAGTGTTGGGTAAAAAAAAACAACACCATGGTTTCTTGAACTTTAAAGGAGACATGGATGCCATGCTAAATATGCTAATATCATCTTTATGAAAAAGCAAATAAGGAAGCTTAAAAAGACTGGAATTTAAGTTTTAAAAATGTAATTATAATTTCTAAGAAGAGATTGGACAACTATTTGTCTGAAATGGTATAGGGTTTCCTGCCTGAGCAGGGGATTTGGACTAGAAGACCTCCAAGATCCCTTCCAACTCTGTTATTCTGTTAAATTGCGTAAATCATGAATGTGTGCTAGCTTTCTAAATGACTTTTTTTAAAAAAACTAGGCTATAATCACAGAATATATAGTTCACTGCCCATCATATTCCTGAAAACTGATCAGGTGAACTCACAAACTTGATATTAGCTTGCATAACATCTGTATTTTATTCAAATAAATAATTTGGTCCAGAAACCCTGTGGATTCCCCTTCATGTCCCCTTGATTGTGTGTGTAGTTCTACAAGGAAGTAGTTAAAAGAAAAAAAAAAGTAAGCCACAATTGCCCAGAACCACAAGTGGAAATCTATCTTTGCATTGCAGTGGAAAAAATGTCTGAGATTCTGGAGATAATATAAAAGGAGATGCTATTGCACTCATGGACAGGATTTACCCTACTAATCTCATTGGTAGAGCATCAAGCAAGTCGAGATAATAACAACACGAGTAGTTATGACACCCAAAAGATTGGCCTTATCGGTGAGTGCACTATTTATTGCTGTTAAAAATTTATTTTGCCTCTGCATTTTTATCTCCAGATATCTAATATTTGATTTACACACTTGGTCTGTCTTTGTAGTTTTTTAAAATCATTTTTTCATGCTCAAGTTATAGTTATTATAATATTTCCTCACACACAAAAATCCTCCAATCTATTTGATACCAAAAATGAAAAACACTGGTTATTGAAAAGAGACTGATTTTTTTTCTATATAACTATATGTATCTCAGACACTTCTGATAATCTGAAAGATGAACTGTACTTGATTCTCTTTTTGTCTCTTAATCATTTGATTTGTATCCCATCTTTCATTCAGAGGTCTAAGGTGGTTTCTCTAGTGTTCCCACTCCTAATTTTCCCACAACATTTCAGTTAATCCTGAGCTGTGGTGCCCCTCAATTAATTACTGCTTCCCACCAACTATTTAAATATTTGAATTCTAAACTCCAATATTAAAATAATGCAAGCTACTAAGGATGAACATTTCTTGCACAACAGATGACACTTTATCCTTACCTATATCTGATACATTCACGGATTCTTTTACAGGTCGTTCTGCTGGTACTGGTGCTTGTAGTGGGGACTTTAGCCCATGGAGGAAATCTTAATAAAATCAGTAAGAAACAGAGAGGAAGAATGACTGACAACTGCCCAACTCAGCCAGGAATCCAAGAAGATAATGAATTCCCAGAGACAGTGAAGGTGCGCATACCTCTTGCCCATGCGGAACCAATGAACAGGATGCCTCATGATGTTAAAAACAGATCTCTCTCTCCATGGGATTACAGGTAGTATTCACCCTTTTAGTGTTAAACCATATTAGCTATAATACATTATGGAAGTGACAATCCCCCAATGCTTTTTGAGTACTTCAAAAATTCTGGGGTGCAAGAACTTCTAAAGGTTGCAACATCTTATGTTGGCAAACACAAAAGCAATATACATTTTCTGAAAAATAGACTGGACAATTCATAACTGGCTAAGCAAATGTCACTTAATTTTTTCATCAATTTGTTAGAACCTTAGTGATCATGCCTATTATTCTGCAATAATATAATATGGCTTTGTGAATATGATTTTTAGTTAGTTGGCCAGTTCCAGTCTTTGCACTTACATTCATTATTATAAAAGCAATCTAGGTTTTATGGTTATGGTTCCTTTCTTAAATCGACTATGTGAGATGAAAGTGGCCTTTCCTCAGGATAGGGCCACATAGGGAATTGACTCATTGATAAATTCTAGCTTAGAGCAGCAATAATGCTAAGCCACAAATTCAAGCACTATCTTATAAGGCAAAATCTCTCTGACAACAAAGGAATGCTATAAAGATCAGATATGATTTCTGAATAAAAAGCAATGTGGTATTAATTGTTAAGGAGAGCAAATAATCTTTTCTGTTTCTTTGGTTCAGGTCCGTAACCAAAATATAATTCTATGGGGAAGAGAACTACAGTAGGAAATTCTGGGATACATTCACCACAAATGTTTATGTTTATATTTTATTATATGATTAAGGAAATCTAGATGACATGGTTCTGTCTCCTAGGAGACAAAAATAAGAGTCCTCTTTAGTTTTTTTTTTTAATGGGTGCTGATTAACATTCAGGGTTCCAAATTCTTCATGAAGTTTGATGAAGAAGTGTATCATATGAACCATATCTTTCTCTGTCTTTTGTGTGTTAACATACAGTGTTAAGGAAGATCCTAACAGATTCCCACACATACTTTCTGAAGCCAGCTGCCGTTATACCGTTTGCCTGGATTCCACCGGGAAGAATCTAAACTATGCTGTGAACTCTGTTCCTATTCAGCAGGAGATCTTGGTGCTCAAACGCAAACATATTGGTTGCAAGCAGAGCTATTGGTTGGAGAAACAGGTGATCACCGTTGGATGCACCTGTGCCTTTCCCACTTCCAATGCTTATCAGAAAAAGGTTTTCTAATATCATTGAAAAATGGCCAAAGGTATCACATGATCCATCGTCGGCTGAAGTAATAAGAGTAATACAATGTTTGCTTGGCTAATTGGAAATGAATTGGTAGCTCTGAATTTCAAAGAAAGTAGCCTCCTTTAGAATTAGGGATCATTTTATTTAGCTCTCTTATAGTGTTTCAAAATGTGTTTAAAAGTTCTGGGAGCATACCAATTGGTCACTTTCTTTAATTTTTTTTTGGGGGGGGGGAGTTCAGATGTCCAGCCACTACGACAGAAAAAAAAAAAATCTCCATTGAAGCCCTGATTCTCTTTGGCTTCAAAAAGAATGAATCTTGCTCTGTACTAATTTTGTAAGATTTATAGCCTGTTTTTATTTGACTTGTTGATCTACATGGAGGTTCTGAAAATTGCAATGCATATGATATTTAAAACTCAGGGAAGAGCAAAGAGGAAATATGCTTTTGTCTCTATTTATAAGATGTATTTATAATACCATATTTATGCATTTACAGAAATATTGTTGGATAAATTTTTATATAGTTTATCAGTATTTATTCAGTAATTTATGTAGCAAATAAAAAGGTTGATATATTTAATTGTCCACATAGTCATTGCTTCCCCAAATATCCATTTCGTTTCCTTTGACATGAACACCATTGTGACACAACTATTTAGTATTTAGAAAAGGTGCTCTGAGTCCATGAGACAGAATGCTAAACCAGAGCAGATACATATCATAATATGGATGAAAATGTGATTTGTCTACCCACTATGATCTTTTTGAAGAGAAAAATAAATAAATTTGGCCACCTGGGAGCATTTGCAAGACCAAGAACGAACCACTTCAGGTGCTTGATCCCTCCTTCCTTCATTAGTCAAAGAAAATGTTGGAAATTGCCACACTGGCTCAATTTCCTAAGGATCCTATTCCTTACCTTGGTCTTTCTAAAGGACACAGTTAATAGTATCTGACCCTGTTTCAGGATAAATAAGCATCTGCTTAAGTGGCAGGATCTCACTTTGGATCTGACTCTGCCTACATGTATTCAGTCCTGAATTTAGTGCATCTCTAATCTCTGTTTGCTTTTCTCTCATTTTTGGCAAATTGGTGAGGCTATTGTTTTCACTAAATCTGCATATACTGTGCAGATATTCTAGGTCTGGTAAAATAAAACAGAAAAATAAAGAAAGCTATAGTAATCCTTTTTGCAATGACTCTATCCAATGAATTATTGAAAAGAAATTTCTGGAATAAATCTCTTTATATTCCTTCCTTCGTACTTGTTTCTGTGGATGGAGGCACTATTTTGGAGTGTTTCTGATCCTTTTCAGTGGGCTGCTTCAGTCCTGGGGGGCAATGAGAAATGAGCCTAGTGGCCCTGATATGTGGGGAGTCATACGCTCAAGTCTCTCTGCCTTGTTTTATTTATTTATTTATTTATAAACTTTATTGGCTGCCCTTCTTACTATAGAGTAATTCTGGGTGGCTTACAGTTACATATACAGTTAAAACATAAAAAATTAAAATTGGACATTAAAACGTAAGGACACATGGGGAGGGTGGGGGTGGAGTGTGGGGGAGGTAGGATCTGCTATTACTCAATCAGCCACCTCCATTGCGGTGTTCCCCCACTGGGGCCTCAAGCAGACTGGCAGAGCCACATCTTTAGACCTTTATGAAAAGATGAGGGGGGGGGGGGTTGGGGCCAACCTCACATGGGGCGGCAAGATGTTCCAGAGGGCGGGAGCAACAGCAGAGAAGGCCCTCCTCCTGGACCCCACCAGCCGGAATAATCAGGCTTACTGGACCCACATCATGCCTCTTCTGCAATCCCAGTGGGATGAGAGGGTGAGACAGTAACCTGTCTCATGCCCATGCCATGAAGGGCTTTAAAGGTGATCACCAACACTTGGAATTGCACCCGGAAGCAGACTTGTAACAAATGCAGCTTGCAGAGCAGTGGTGTCACAGGGCTCATTCTTTGGGACCTCAAAACTACCCACACTGCTGCACTCTGCGCCAGCTATAACTTCCAAATGCTCTTCATGGAGAATGCATTATAATGGTCCAGCCACGAGATGACAGGGACTGAAGGACTGAGTGCAGAGAATTCTGATCCAGGAAAGGCCACAACTGGTGCACAACACAAAGTTGTGCAAAGACAGGAAAGACAATTCAAACAGGAATTATGAATCCAGGAGAATTTCAAAGTTGTGGACCAGGTCTTTCTAGGGCAGTGTTACCCCATACAGGATTGTTATTGTCCCCCATCCAGGCCCCCACAGCCTCCAGGCATCACTTTGGTCACCAAGAGTGGAAATATAGAATTAGGTGTCATCAGCATACAATATATACCTCAACCCATGATGACGGATTTGCTTACCCAGTGGTTTCATTTGGACGTTGAAACGGAGTGGAGAAAGTATGGAGCCCTGTGGTACACTACAGAATAGTGACTGAGGGCTGGACCTCTTGTCCCACATCAATACCGATTGGGAACTGCAACAGACAAAGCTGTGTGTGTGTGTGTGTGTGTGTGTGTGTGTGTGTGTGTGTGTGTGTGAAATTAACCCTAGAAAGTGCCCTGGCTGCTAGAGGAAGACTGGAGGTGGGAAAGGAATAAAGTTTTATTCCAATAGAAAATTATGCTGAGAAGTAAGGCAGGAGAGGGAGTACAAGAAAGACTTAGTGAGGTTTCAGTCTGCCTGTCATAACTAAGCTATAAAAATTCAGATGAGCCTCTCTGCCACCATAACACCTGCTCCCCAAAGTCACCAGAAGCTGACCATTTTATTTTTATCTTTTATCCCTTTGGCAACAAAAAGTACTTTGTACTAGTATCTGATAGTTTTTGCATAGCCCTAACTATCCTCATAATTTTTTCTTGCCTCATTTATTTGGATATATTTATTTTGTGTTATTTGTTTAAAACTTCATTTTGATATTCTTTGGATTAAACCTTCCAGTTTGCACTGGGATTACAGATATGTAGTAGGCCCCCCCAAAACCCCTTGCATATTATCTGTTTCTTAGTAACTTATCATGTTTTCATTCTATTTATTTTCTTGAATGAGGACTCATTTCATTTGACTGATGTAAGTGGAAAACCACAGACAGCCCTTGAGTTCCTTCCAAGAATATCTCCTGAACTAGCCGAACACTAACCGAGAGCCCAGAATGTGGTGCACTGTGGTTTTGTGTGTTTTGTTCTATCAACTAATACTTGAAATAAGGACCCACTTGATCTTCTACCTCTCCTACATGTCTGCTCAAGCACTGAGGTTTAAATGCTTAGTCAGCCTGTCCTACATTTCACACCAATGAAAACCACTTTTAGATACAAGAGGAAGCAGGACAGCTACTGATACAACAATCTGTCTGGGTGACTATTCATCTCTGTTAATAACCAGGCATTGTTAGAGGGGCCAGAGGATAGCACCAAACTTCCCTGCCATGCACAGTGATTTACATTATTTCTTTCCTCTGTGCAAGGTGCAGTGAAATTCACTCCAGGACACTTAAACTAGGCTTCCCCTGCCCTATCTCCCCAGTACCAGCAAAGCTTCACATGGGTCTTCTGTGTTATCCCCAGTAGGCTATCTTCTAGATAGGCAAATTCCAATTGTTCCCATAGTCCAGGGGTGTCAAGCTGCTGGCCCGCGGGCCGGATGTATCATAACAAAACCACGCCCACCCCATTGCAGGCAATGGAAAAAAAGTTACGATACATCGTGACACATCACATGACGTCATGAGTTTGACACCCATGCCATAGTCCATTCCCTTAGTGGTGAGGCAGTATGTGTACATTGGATACATTTTGGTAATCTCTCTTCTAAACTCCCTTAAACACAAATCTCTCTCCCCTGAAGAGGGGCATCTGGAATTCACAGTTATTGCCACAGTGGGTATGTGAGTGTCACTTATATTCAAATGGCTATTATGATTCTTTAAAGCCTGGGGAAAAAATCTATCTGAAATTTCATTTCACTAGGGAGACGACTTATTACAAAGGACCAGATTACTAAATGTGAGCAGTATGCTTCATTTATCCCTTTTATTCTCCCTAATATCACGAATGGAAGTCTGATTGGCTTTCAGCTTTGATTGATGGATGGATTGATTTTCTGCCATTGAGTTATTGTCTCTAAGATTTTCTCCAGGAAGATCTGTTTCCAACCTGGTCTTCAAATGGTGCAGGTATACCCTTGTAACTGTTGATCATCTTCTCCTCTTTTCTTTCCTTCCCTTTCGACGCGTTAGAGCCTTCTCCAGAGACTTATGTCTTCACACATAATGTGTTCAAAATGTGATAATTTGAATCTGGTCATTTGGGCCCCAAGGGAGAATTCTAGATTGATTTGTTTGAAGATCCATTTGTTTGTTTTCTTAGTTGCCCAAGCTATTCTCAGGAGTCTTCCTAACACCAAAGTTCAAAAGCATCAATACTGTTTCTATCCTGCTTTTTCAGACTCCAATTTTACTGTCAGAAAATGTTACTTTTGTATCAATATGAACACTTAGTATTGTGTTCCAAACAAATGTGACTTCTCTATTGTAGCACTTTGACGGTGAGAACTTCCAAACAGCCCATGCTTCTTCTCCAGCTGACTGTGAGGCTACTTATTTTCTTTAGTATATTGCAAGGTTGACAGGATCACCATGAGCTATCAGTACTCCTATCAGTTCACCAATAGAAAAGGATGAATCCTCATTCATTCATTGCTCTACTTCTTGGATGGTGAAGAATCAATGTACCAATAGGGTGACAAAGTATCCTTTGCTGGGATCTAGATTTCAGCAGATGCCCAACGGTCCTGCTTGAGAACATTTCATCTGCTATTTACAGAAATGTATTCTACTGGTGATTTAACAGGAGTGCTGTGATTTTATTAAAATTTTGGCCTTGTTGGCATGTTCAAATGTTGCAAGGATCTCCTAATGTGTGTATGTGTCTGTGTGTGAGAGAAAGAGATTCAGGAATTCTAACATGGGATTAGATAATT